GCATGGGCGGCCGCAACACATAGGAATAGGTTGCTTCTGTTGAATCACCTGGGGTGTCAAAATACGCGCCGCCTTTTGCTCCTCCTGCACACATGTGGCTTGGGCGGCCTCTTGGGGGCCAGTCGGTTGTCAACAAGGGTGACCTTTACCTCTGTTTGAAGGTACTCCCATTTTTTCGGGGTGGTAAAGGGAAAGCAACCGGAAAACCACCATTTTTGTTTGGTTCCATATCCTATTTTGACCGAGGTCCACGGGGTTTCTTCCGGAACCAAGGAGACCAACATTTGGCTGTGGGTCAAAACCAATGGTACCATTTTGGGCTAGGTGCACCCATGTTCGCTTATTTTCGTGGGGATCGGGATGTTGACTGGGGGTACGATTTGGATTTTGACCCATGGCCATTTGACTAAAAGCACCACATCAAGTTTGCCCCAAAATCAGCTGCCCCCCCGATTGGTGGCTTGGTGGTTAAGGGAGCTTTCCCACAAAGCCATGGCCATTTGTCTAAAGACGAGCCACCCAGTGGCATGTCCAGCGCTGACCCCGCAGGCCTTTCTCCAAACTGCCAGCTGGGTTCGCTTGGAAGCTGGCATGGGCCTGCGCCCCAGCGGTTTCGTCACGCTGACGGATATGTTTTGACTTAGGACGAAACGGCCGGGTTGAGCATCGCTTGGCGGGTCCAAGCGAATCGTCCGGTTCCTGGGTTTGTTTTGGGTTGTTTGGGGTTTAGTGGTTGGGTTTCCATTTCACCCGCTAAAGGTTTGTGTTTCTAGGAGGGGATCTGAGGCGATCAAAACCGCAGTGGATGGACAAAGTCCTGCGCCTTGGAAACGATTGATTGGTATTTGCTGGAGGGAATCATCAGAAACCAGGGTTTCCTTGGTTGGTGCAGGAGTAGGGAATGCCTCATGTTCGAATAATTGCTAATCACTTTTGCCAGAAGAAACACCGGGTCCCTCCTAACCTGCCACTTTTTAGGAACATCCGGGCAAGATTCTTGTTAACAACCTGGACTCTCCAGACAACTTAATCATGTTTCCCCAAATTTGATGTTTAAGGGTCCTAGAGATTTCAGGTGCAACACGCAGCCGCCACACCTCCCAAAGATTAGGAATCCAGCTCAGAAAGGATTCCCTGAAATCTTCACGGCCCTTTTCGTGAAATACCCCGCTAAGGGCGGACATGACCCCAGAGGCCTACCTTGCTGGTGCCAACAAAACATTCGTTCCCAAAGGAATCTTCTGGGACATGGACCTTCTGTACGGAACACGGACCCCCCAAACAAAACAATCAAGCAAAGGCGCTTTTGTAGCCCGCTGGTCCAAAGCGACTCGACCTTTTGGTTTTTGCTTTCCTATTTTTGTGCCCACGTTTAGGCATGGACCCGCTTAAGGCGGTCAGCTTTTATTTCCACCCGGACGGGCCACTGAGGTAGAGTGATCCCCTGCTGGGAGTTCCGGAGAAAAAACGCAATGCTAGGGCGAGGCTGAAGATGTTGCCCATCAAAGTCGAATCCCAGCGTGTAAAAACCGGAACCCCGCAATGGGTGTGTCAACCAAAAAGCTGGTGGGCAGGTGCCCGTTTTTTTCTCCACTAATGGTTTTTCTGCACTCATGACGTGTCAATCATGTTGTTTTGCTGTACCCCAAATTCTTGGGCCCTAAATATTTAGGGCCCTAATGTTAACCCCGCATTAATACACCCCTGGTTGATTTTCATCGGGGGGTGTCCCCTTTCAGTGGGGATTCAGACCACTTTTGGAGGGAACGCTCCCCCAATAATGGGACGGGTTTAAATTCATCCTGGGTCAACATTATTCGTCAGGCAACCTGGAGGCTTCGGGAGTAGCGGGGTCTCTCAAGAAACCAGACCGGTCCACGCCGGATTCCGGGCCCTATGTTGCATGGTTAAGACATCAGCGGTTGGGCAATTTAAATGGGGTTTCCTTGTGGCAGGGTGCTGTGAAGGGAAAGGTTCAGAGCCTATTCTGACCGGCAACGAAGCCAGTGGGACTGGTGGGCAGGCGCAGGCTGATTTGGAAATTTGATGGCATCTTCAGCAAGGGGATGCTTTCACTATCCAAACTTCGCTCCCATTCTCTGCTCGTGTTCATGGGATTCTACCACCCAAGTACTGAACCGGTTTCCTCAATCAGGTTATCCAGGCCTTCCTTAGGGGGTCTTAGAAAGGTTCTGAGACCCCTGTAAGAAATGAGGGTTGGGGGGATGATGGACACTTGCGGTCTATTTCGAACCCTCTTCTTTTAGGGCAACGGTGTTGAAGGGCTGCCTGCAAAATGCTCTGAAGTGTCCATGGCAAGCGTGGAGAGTGCGCATCGCTTCTGGGCACGAATCAACTTCGCTCAAGAAAGTCATCGATCGAAGCGCACAACAACCTTTTCGCTTTTCCAGTTGCTCTGTGGTAGGGTGACTTTGTGATTTTGGGAGAAAAGGTCTCTCTTGAAACACAGCCAGCGACAAAGACGCGGCACGCGCCCTTTCTCCCCGTGTGGGGCCCGTGTGAGTCCCCTTGTGGTTTGCCAGCTTTGGTCTGTTTCCAGTTTCATGCAAGCGGGATGTGGTTACATTTGGATCACACCTTGTAGACCAAGGCAGGCTTTCCTCCATTTCCCTTTTAACTCCAAAAGTAGCGATTTCAGTGGAAACCAGTATAATTAGACAGATGCACTTTTGAAGCGACATTCCAGTGCCTGCCTTTTTGAGGCCTGAACCGCATGGTGCGTTCCCAAACCCCTCAAGAGAATTCCATGGGGAGGGAAAAGACAAGGGAATTCCACAGGAAAAGAAAGGGAAATTCGCGGTGGAGAAAAAAACACATCAGGGGGACACGCAGTCGAGGCATGGCGCGCGCTTATTTGCTGCGGGCCTGCTGGCGTCGCCACGTGCCCTGGCTGCCGGAGGCGCGACCGGAGAATGCGGAGGCCTCCGGTTGAGTGCGTTGGTGGATGCCCAAATTGCCATAAGCCAAGCGCTCTCAACCACCCAACCAGGGTACGGGTACCCTCCCACAAATTTTCACACATGGAACCCCATGATAAGCCAAGCGTGGTGGTTTGGATTGGTTTGGAGTAGTGGTTTGGAGGTGTTCCGGGGCTGGTTTCTGAAATGAAGGTACCCTCTCACCAATTAACATGGAAACGGTCCGGGATTTTCGGGGAACCGGTCCTGGTTCAGACCATTTTTATTTAAGGGCTGCCGCCCAGTGCCGCCGACCCCTGGATTTAGTTGTGGTTTTCGAGCAACCAAAAACAGTGCCCTTGGTTTTGGTTTCTTTGGTTTCTTGCGAATGATGCGTAGTGATGATTATCATCAAGGCAGGACTCCAAATCTCAATGACCCAAATGGCATCTGAGGCGAGATGCCGTTTCGACAGTGATGCGTAGTCATGATTATGATCATCGCTGCTGGGAGATGCTGGGGATGCGTAGTGATGATTATCATCAAGGCAGGACTCCAAATCTCAATGACAAATGGCATCTGAGGCGAGGTGCCGTTTCGATAGTGATGCGTAGTCATGATCATCGCTAGGCACCCTTGGTAATGCAGAGGATGCTACGATGATAGTGATCATGACAGTTGCATCACCAATGCTGCCTGATAAGAGATGACGACGACCATGATGATAATAGCACGGGCCTGATGCTCGTTATCATCCGCATCATGACAACGATCACCACAACATCCTCTGCATCACTACTTGTTCCTTGATAACTATCATCATCGCATCCTTTGCATTGCCAAGGATGTCTAACGTCCCTTTTGATTTCTATATATAGTAATATAGTAAGATATGAGATGATGGCAGGTGATGATCAGACGATGATAAAGATGACGACGAGGATGACAACATCATCGTAGCATCCTCTGCATCACTACTTGTTCCTTGATAACTATCATCACCGCATCCTTTGCATTGCCAAGGATGTCTAACGTCCCTTTTGATTTCTATATATAATAAGTAGGATATGATAAGTAATAAGTAAGATATGATAAGACATGAGATGACGCCAGATGATGATCAGATGATGAGAAAGATGACGACGAGGATGATAACTATCATCGTAGCATCCTTAGCATCACCAACGGCTGTGATGATAACCATCATCGCAGCATCCTCTGCATCGCCGATGCTGCCTGATAAGAGATGACGACGGCCATGATGATAATAGCACGGGCCTGATGCTCGTTATCATCCGCATCATGACAACGATCATCACAACATCCTCTGCATCACTACTTGTTCCTTGATAACTATCATCATCGCATCCTTTGCATTGCCAAGGATGTCTAACGCCCCTTTTGATTTCTACACATAGTACAGTAAGATATGAGATATGAGATGATGGCAGGTGATGATCAGACGATGATAAAGATGATGACAAAGATGATAACTATCATCGTAGCATCCGTAGCATCACTAAAGGCTGCGATGACAACTATCATCGCAGCATCCTCTGCATCACCAATGCTGCCTGATAAGAGATGACGACGACCATGATGATAATGGCACGGGCCTGATGATCGTTATCATCCGCATCATGACAACTATCATCACAACACCCTCTGCATCACTACTTGTTCCTTGATAACTATCATCATCGCATCCTTTGCATTGCCAAGGATGTCTAACGTCCCTTTTGATTTCTATATATAGTAAGATATGAGATGATGGCAGGTGATGATCAGACGATGATAAAGATGATGACAAGGATGATAACTATCATCGTAGCATCCGTAGCATCACTAATGGCTGCGATGACAACTATCATCGCAGCATCCTCTGCATCACCAATGCTGCCTGATAAGAGATGACGACGACCATGATGATAATAGCACGGGCCTGATGCTCGTTATCATCCGCGTCATGACAACGATCATCACAACATCCTCTGCATCACTACTTGTTCCTTGATAACTATCATCATCGCATCCTTTGCATTGCCAAGGATGTCTAACGTCCCTTTTGATTTCTAAAAATAGTAAGATATGAAAAGATATGAGATGATGGCAGGTGATGATCAGACGATGATAGAGATGATGACAAAGATGATAACTATCATCGTAGCATCCGTAGCATCACTAACGGCTGCGATGACAACTATCATCGCAGCATCCTCTGCATCACCAATGCTGCCTGATAAGAGATGACGACGACCATGATGATAATAGCACGAGCCTGATGCTCGTTATCATCCGCGTCATGACAACGATCATCACAACATCCTCTGCATCACTACTTGTTCCTTGATAACTATCATCATCGCATCCTTTGCATTGCCAAGGATGTCTAACGTCCCTTTTGATTTCTATATGTAGTAAGATATGATAAGATATGAGATGATGGCAGGTGATGATCAGACGATGATAAAGATGACGACGAGGATGACAACATCATCGTAGCATCCTCTGCATCACTACTTGTTCCTTGATAACTATCATCACCGCATCCTTTGCATCGCCAAGGATGTCTAACGTCCCTTTTGATTTGTATATATTATAATAAGTAAGATATGACAAGTAATAAGTAAGATATGATAAGACATGAGATGACGCCAGATGATGATCAGATGATGAGAAAGATGACGACGAGGATGATAACTATCATCGTAGCATCCTTAGCATCGCCAACGGCTGTGATGATAACCATCATCGCAGCATTGTCTGCATCGCCGATGCTGCCTGATAAGAGATGACGACGGCCATGATGATAATAGCACGGGCCTGATGCTCGTTATCATCCGCAACATGACAACGATCATCACAACATCCTCTGCATCACTACTTGTTCCTTGATAACTATCATCATCGCATCCTTTGCATTGCCAAGGATGTCTAACGCCCCTTTTGATTTCTATATATCAGGGCCAAACGACGGGGGTCACCACTAAGTCGGGATCACCGGCTCGCGTTCGCCTAGGTTCGTGGTACCCCCCCCCCCTTCGGCTAACCCTTCGTGGCTGTTTATTCCCCCCCCCCCCCCCCCCACCCCCCCCCCCCCCCCCCCCCCCCCCCCCTTTTTCCCCCCCCCCCCCCCCCCCCCCCCCCCCCCCCCCCCTTTTTTTTTTTTTCCCCCCCCCCCCCCCCCCCCCCACCCCTGGAGTTTGGCTCAAGTGGGCTTAAGCTTATTTGTTATGTATTTATAATATTACAGGTATACTATATTGTATGCTTTCTTATTTAATACTTTTCTCCTAATATATTTAATAACCTATATAATAACCTATATTATATTATATATATATGGTATACAGTGACAATCTATTGAGGTTGGTTAAGAATCCGGTTCCCAGCAGTAGACAAGCTGCTGCGGCCGCCCTGGGCCTTGGCCAGAGCCTCAGCGGCCTCCACTAATGATTGTCATGCCTTACCAGGCTGATCGTGTGTGTGTGTGTGTGTGTGTGTGTGGGTGCGTGTGTGGGCGCGCAGTGTATGTGTGGGTGTGTGTGTGTGTGTGTGGGTTTACGTGGTCATGTGACTCAATGTCTGACAATGCCGCATGTGTGTGGTAGTGTGAATGGTTGCCTGTCTGTGGGTGCCTGTGAATCTGCATGTTGATGTAAATTAACATCCAAATATAGCAAGCTCAAGGGGCACATTTTTACGATTTTTTCGGGCCAATGCTAGACACCGTTTCTTGCCCCAGGAACGAACATGTACTGCAAAGATCTGCATGTTACTCTGCTTGCCACGTTGACATGACCAGTGCCACTTTGACCAAGCCATTTTTTGAATTTGCTGGTTTTGAGGGTTGCTTGTCCAGTTGGGCCTTGAGGCCAGCGGGGTCTAAAGACCCTGCTGGCTTTGAGGCTGGCTGGGTTGCTTGTCCAGTTGGGCCTCGAGGCCAGCAGGGTCTGTAAGACCCTGCTGGCTTTGAGGCTGGCTGGGTTGCTTGTCCAGTTGGGCCTCGAGGCCAGCAGGGTGTGTAAGACCCTGCTGGCTTTGAGGCTGGCTGGGTTGCTTGTCCCTCAGTTGGGCCTTGAGGCCAGCCGGGTCTACAGACCTTGCTGGCTTTGAGGCTGGCTGGGTTGCTTGTCCAGCTGGGCCTCGAGGCCAGCAGGGTCTGCAAGACCCTGCTGGCTTTGAGGCTGGCTGGGTTGCTTGTCCAGTTGGGCCTCGAGGCCAGCAGGGTATGTAAGACCCTGCTGGCTTCGAGGCTGGCTGGGTTGCTTTTCAGTTGGGCCTCGAGGCCAGCGGGGTCTGTAAGACCCTGCTGGCTTTGCGGGGTTTGCTGGGGTAGGTGGGCCTCTGAGGCCAGCAGGGGGAGTTTAAAGGACGCTGGCTGGCTTTGAGCTGGCTGGGTTTGCTGCTCAGTTGGGCCTCGAGGCCAGCAGGGTCTGTAAAGACCCTTGCTGGCTTTGAGGCTGGCTGGGATGGTGTTGTCCAGGTTGATGGGGTCCTGGTCCACCATCCCGGCCATCGTCTCCTGCAGCTTTGAGGCTTGGCTGGGTTGCCTTTACTGGCCTATGAGGCCAGCGGTGGTTGACAGACCTTGCTGGCTTTGAGGCTGGCTGGGTTTTTAGCGTTGTCCAGTTGGGCCTCGAGGCCAGCAGGGTCTGTAAGACCCTGCTGGCTTCGAGGCTGGCTGGGTTGCTTTTCAGTTGGGCCTCGAGGCCAGCGGGGTCTGTAAGACCCTGCTGGCTTTGAGGCTGGCTGGGTTGCTTGTCCCTCAGTTGGGCCTTGAGGCCAGCCGGGTCTACAGACCTTGCTGGCTTTGAGGCTGGCTGGGTTGCTTGTCCAGTTGGGCCTCGAGGCCAGCAGGGTCTGTAAGACCCTGCTGGCTTTGAGGCTGGCTGGGTTGCTTGTCCAGTTGGGCCTGGAGGCCAGCGGGGTCTGTAAGATCCTGCTGGCTGTGAGGCTGGCTGAGTTGCTTGTCCAGTTGGGCCTTGAGGCCAGCGGGGTCCAAACACCCTGCTGGCTTTGAGGCTGGCTGGGTTGCTTGTCCAGTTGGGCCTCGAGGCCAGGGTCTGTAAGACCCTGCTGGCTTCGAGGCTGGCTGGGTTGCTTGTCCAGTTGGGCCTCGAGGCCAGCAGGGTCTTACACCCTGCTGGCTTTGAGGCTGGCTGGGTTGCTGGTCCAGTTGGGCCTCGAGGCCAGACCCTGCTGGCTCTGAGGCTGGCTGGGTTGCTTGTCCAGTTGGGCCTCGAGGCCAGCAGGGTCTGTAAGACCCTGCTGGCTTTGAGGCTGGCTGGGTTGCTTGTCCAGTTGGGCCTCGAGGCCAGCAGGGTCTGTAAGACCCTGCTGGCTTTGAGGCTGGCTGGGTTGCTTGTCCAGTTGGGCCTCGAGGCCAGCGGGGTCTGCGTAAGCCCCTGCGGCTTTGAGGCTGGCTGGGTTGCTTGCGCAAGTTGGGCTGAGGCCAGCGGCGCCTTAAAGACCTTGTGGCTTTGAGGCTGGCTGGGTTGCTTGTCCCGTTGGGCCTCGAGGCCGAGGTCTGCAAGGACCCCTGCTGGCTTTGAGGAGCGCTTTGCTTCCAGCTATGCTTGTCCAAGTTGGGCCTCCGCTTGCACGTAGCAAGCTCGGGCTCGCAGGTTGGTGGCCTGGGTTTGCGTCAGCAGTTGTGCCTCGAGGCCAGCAGGGGTCTGTAAGACCCTGCTGCTTTGGGGGGGCCCCCCCCCCCCCAGGCCTTTGAGGCTGGCTGGGTTGCTTGTCCAGTTGGGCCTCGAGGCCAGCAGGGTCTGTAAGACCCTGCTGGCTTTGAGGCTGGCTGGGTTGCTTGGCCAGTTGGGCCTCGAGGCCAGCGGGGTCTGTAAGACCCTGCTGGCCGTTTATTCTATTTTGGCTCCGCTTGTAAGACCCTGTGCTTTGAGGCTGGGGCAAATAGGGGGGGGAGATTTGCTTGTACGTTGGGGGCCACGAGAGGCCAGCAGGGTCTTACACCCTGCTGGCTTTGAGGCTGGCTGGGTTGCTTGTCCAGTTGGGCCTTGAGGCCAGCAGGGTCTGTAAGACCCTGCTGGCTCTGAGGCTGGCTGGGTTGCTTGTCCAGTTGGGCCTCGAGGCCAGCAGGGTCTGTAAGACCCTGCTGGCTTTGAGGCTGGCTGGGTTGCTTGTCATCCAGTTGGGCCTTGAGGCCAGCGGGGTCTAAAGACCTTGCTGGCTTTGAGGCTGGCTGGGTTGCTTGTCCAGTTGGGCCTCGAGGCCAGCAGGGTCTTGCAGACCCTGCTGGCTTTGAGGCTGGCTGGGTTGCTTGGCCAGTTGGGCCTCGAGGCGAGCAGGGTCGGTAAGACCCTGCTGGCTTCGAGGCTGGCTGGGTTGCTTGTCCAGTTGGGCTCGAGGCCAGCAGGGTCTGTAAGACCCTGCTGGCTTTGAGGCTGGCTGGGTTGCTTGTCCAGTTGGGCCTCGAGGCCAGCAGGGTCTGTAAGACCCTGCTGGCTTTGAGGCTGGCTGGGTTGCTTGGCCAGTTGGGCCTCGAGGCCAGCGGGGTCTGTAAGACCCTGCTGGCTTTGAGGCTGGCTGGGTTGCTTGTCCAGTTGGGCCTCGAGCGGGGTCTGTAAGACCTTGCTGGCTTTGAGGCTGGCTGGGTTGCTTGTCCAGGCTGGGCCTTGCGGCCAGCATAGTCTGCAGGACATCTGCTGGCTTTGAGGCTGGCTAGATTGCTTGTCCAGTTGCGCCTCAAGGCCAGCAGGGTCTGTAGGACCCTGCTGGCTTTGAGGCTGGCTGGGTTGCATGCCCAGTTGGGCCTCGAGGCCTGAGGCTGGCTGGATTCAGTTGGGAGGCTGGGTTGGTTGTCCAGTTGGGCCTTGAGGCCAGCGCGGTCTGCAAGACTTCTGCTGGCTTTGAGGCTGGCTGGGTTGCTGTTGCAGCAGGGTCTGGCTTTGAGGCTGGCTGGGTTGCTTGTCCAGTTGGGCCTCAAGGCCAGCAGGGTCTGTAAGACCCTGCTGGCTTTGAGGCTGGCTGGGTTGGTTGTCCAGTTCATGGATGCACAGCAGGGTCTGTAAGACCCTTGCTGGCTTCGAGGTTGGGCGGGGATCTTGACCATGCAGTTGGTCAAGGTCAGTGGGGTCTGCAAGACCTTTGCTGGCTTTGAGGCTGCCTGTGTTGCTTGTCCATTGGCTTCGAGGCTCGCAGGTGTTGAGGCTGGCTGGGTTGCTTGCCCCAGGTCATAGTGTTCTGCAATGTCCTTGCGTCGCATTTTTCTCAGCTGTGCTTGCTGCTAAGGTCGGCATGGTCTCAAGGTCGCCTTCGGCCTTCTGCTTGAGGGGGCAGGCTCCACTTGCACTATTATTTTTGACTCAGTGTTGCAAGGTGGGTTAGCAGGATCTTCTGGTTTCAAGGTGGATGGGCTTCTTGACCATGCAGTTGGTCAGCGGGGTCTACAAGGCCCTGCTGGCTTTGAGGCTGGCTGGGTTGCTTGCCCAGTTGGCCGTGGAAGCAAGCAGGCAGGGTTGTGGGTCCTTTTGATTTTGAATGTTGTTTGCCCAGTTGGGCCTTGAGGCCGGCATATGTAAGACCGCTGCTGGCTTCCAGGCTGGCAAGTGTTGAGTCAAGGCTGGGTTGCTTGCCCCGTGTTTTGTCCAATGTCCTTGCGTTTCATTTTAATCAGCTGTGCCTGCAGGTTGCCGTGCTCGCCTTCTGCGTTTGACGAGGACCGCTTCAGGGATTGACTCGCATTGCAAGACATGGGGCATACTTGGTTTGACTCAGTGTTGGCAGCACAAATGAGCAGAGCATGCATGATTCATCGGATCAAGCATATTATCTGGTCAAGGTCACAGCAGCCATTGACAGAATGTGTGGTCTGACATGGTCTGACATGGTGCCCCGAACCGGTCTGACATGGTGCCCCGAACCAGGTCCCGACATTGGCTTGCACTCTAGGTCCTTCGGTCCTTCGGTCTTGCCATGTCGGACGACGAAACCCCGGTTCCAACGGAGGTGGTTCCGGAGGTTGCCACGGAGGTCCCAACGGTCACGCAGCTGCCTTGCTCTTCAGCGCCCGCGCCAACCGAAACGGCGATCCCAGTTGGCCAGGCCGGGCCTGGAGGGAGTGGGTCCAAGCTTACTTAAGCTTTAAGCCAAAAGGATCACCCGACCCCTGCAACATAATCATATGGGATTGCAAGTTGGCTGCGTTTGCGCCGCGCTTGCCCTCAGGCTGACTCTTCGTCATCCGGGTCATCACGAGGCGCTAGAACCGGTCAGCCCAGGGCCCACAGAAACAAGGGCAAACATCGCAAGAAGCCCAATGCACACATCCGAGCTGCTCGCAGAAAACGAAAGGCCGAAGCTGCACAGCCCAAACCTGCGGCCAAACACGGGGCCAAACACGGGGCCAAGCACGGGGCCAAAGACACGGCCAAACATGCGGCCACCTCCACAAAGGAGGCCAGGGTCGAACAGACCAAGGCGGAGGTCCAGCCAGCAGCAAGGTCTTCCACCCCAACCGAACGCGACAGCCCATCGGACTATGAGGCCCCTTGGCTGCGTGACATAGAGTTGACAGTCATTGAGGCAGTAATCTCATCAAATTTGGTTCCATGATTCGGGTAGGCCTTGCATCGGGAGTACTGCTTGCTGCGGACGGTCATTTGCTACATGGCCGAGTCGCATCCAGCTTCTTGGCGGCAAGCTGAATGTGGCACTTGTTCGCGCCTTCTGTTTGACGATGTGGATGTTGCCGCAATGAGCTCAGGGTGTTCGCCACGCCTGCCAGCCTCTGTCCTACGACCCCCCCGGAGAGGTCCCGGCAGGCGCCGAGCATCGCA